CTAGGCTGAAATAAACTATCCTCTGTTCAAGAGCTCCTTCTCCATCATCAGGATGGAACAAGAATATCTCAAAAGTACAGTTTAAATACACTCAGTCCAGACTGTAGAAGCATCTTGAAAACCCAGGGAATTCTGCACCAACTTGGAAATATTCCCAGTATATTTCAGTTCTCCCAGTGAGCATTAGGCAGTATCGTCATGGCTGGGATCATAAGCCTTTCTTCGAATCATGGGATTAAAAAGCCAAAGAGAACAGTTCATTCAGTCACTGGGATTTTCTAAATTTTTTTCCCCAGAAAAATCAGCATTTTGTTTATATGAAACTTCACAGAGTTATATTATAAGCTTACTAGACCCCTCTGGATGTTCCAACAACAAACACTACTACCACAAAATAGGCCAATTTAAGATGTCTGGCAACATTTTCACTAGGTTTCCTCTCTTCGTTACCTACTCAGACTTTCTAGCACTCTGATTTTCAAATCAAATCACTTTGATTTCGTTAGGTGCTTTTGAAATTCAGCAAGACATGTTCAAGCAAAAGGAAATCATTATGGGACATGAATTCCTGAAAATCTTTTGGTACCAAGTAAATGAGAATGTCTTTAGTACTATAAGAAATATTGTACAGTGTAAAAGTATTTTTATAACAATGAATAAGCCTTTCATGAACAGAAAAGTTAGATTTCATCAGTAAAATATCTGTTTCATAACAAATTCTCTGTTTTTCTAAATATCTCTGTTATGTATCAGAATCCTGGCTCATAACACAGATCCCCATATGAAGGAAAATACAAATAACATTTTCAATATATTTGCAATAAACAAACCCTGAAAATGGCTAGCTTGAAAGTATTGTTTCACAGTTATTTGTATCAAAAAATGGTACTTTATTTATTGACCATGTACTTTGAAATTACAGCAAGAGTACAAAATTACTTCAAATCAATTTTTTTTTGTAAAGAGTTTTTAAAATTCTTCCTCAAAAAACTTCTCAGCTTGGCAATCTTGGGTCATTTGTGTGACACCACACTAGCAAAATTATGCAATGTAGGTGACAAAGATTACATATACATAATTTTCTAAAAGATAACACAAAGTCCCAGCACTATGACTAGGAAGTCTTTGCTAGAGTAAAGGAAGGCCATGGTAGTAATGTCAGCTGTTTCTCTGATTTCCAACTCCTGCCTAGCAATAAAGAAGAACCAAAACAAGAAAGACAGTATGAGTGTACACATGCAAGCAAATGCACACACACACACACACACACACACACAGAGGCACACACACAGTTTCCCTGCATCACATGGTAGTAGTTGCCTCTTACCTGGATATTAGGAGCAACTTTCTCCTTACACATTTATTATTCATAATCTACCCTAAACTGCAGATTGGCATGCCATGACTCAGAGATCCAGTTTTAATCCCACAGAAAAAAAAATGAAATAAAGAAAGAGAGGCTTCTCGTGGCAGACATGCCCCAGCCTTACGACACAGTCCTCTGCAGATAGTGCTTCTTGTGACTTTTAAATGGGCTCTTCGTGTGTCTTTGGCCTTATCTCCATTAACAGAGACATCTGTATGTGGCCCTGCACATCTGAAAACTGTGACAACAGCAAATAGGGAAAGGAGTTTTACAGTGTTAGAATTCCTCCCTGGAGTAGAAGATTTAGGACTGTAGGAGAAATCTAAGCATAGCAATAGCTAACCTGTAATGATAAAAGTATGACTTTTCATTTCTATATGCCCATAACACAGGTGATAAAAGCATAAATTTTTTGTTTGTATTACCCATAACACAGGTCATAATAACAGTAAAACCAACTTTAATTTTCCTTCTTTATTCTCCCTCTGAGGAAAATACGAGAGAAAAGAAAAATTCTACAGAACACCCATGGGAGAGATAAACATGAGAAAAACTGAATCTAGACTAGACTCAAAAAAGTTAATGCCCCAGTTACTTTAACTGCACCTAGATAAAGGTTGGTTGTAATTGTTAGAAAATAAAAATATTGGCAGTGTATCAGATTCTCAACAATAGCATTTCAAATAGATGACAGATTCACAAGAAGATTCCACACCGTCACATATACATGCATGCCTATGTGGAATGAGATTCATTTTCTGATTTAATTATGATTCAGAATATGGGGCAGCCATTGGCAGGAGCAGATGTACCCTTCCCTGGTGCTGTTCCCATGGTGACACTTGATACATGATCATGCATCCAGCAACATTAAATCTCCTGACATAGGATCATGATTTTTCTTTTTCTTTTTTTTCAGCTTTAATTGAGTTTATTGGTACATTTTAGGGTTACAGTACAGTTACATTCATTGTTGGGATCTTGTATGGATCATGATTTTTCTTTAGCATACTATCAGTTATTTGATTCTTTCTTTGTAATATCCAGGATTCTTGCCTTTCAAATACTTCAGTGAATTCTGTCTATTATACCCACACAGCTCTATCTTTCACTCACTCCAGATCTCTTATCAAATACTACTGTATTAGACCCAGACCACCCTATTAAAACATACTCCCACCATTCTTGGTCTTGCAAATCTTATTTTATTTTTCTTCAAACTACTTATCACCTACATTGTTTATCTATTGTTTACTGTTCCCCACCATTAGAGAGTCAGCTCTAATAGAGCTGTTAGTCTTGCTCATTGTTATATATTTAGAACAGAGAACAATGCCTTGCAGATAGTGGCCCTTCAGTGAGTCTATATTTGGTAAATGAATAAACGGAAGAACAGTAATTCTTGGGGAAGAGATTCTGTTCTAGACTGCTGGAGTTGAGGAGCTTGTAAATATGGGTTAAAAATGAAAGGGGCCTGAGACACTGCCAGCACAGGTGTGATCAATGAATTTGGTGGAGAAAATGCTGAGAGAGGGAAAAACGGAACTCTGTTGAGAATCTCACAGAACACCAGAAAGAAAAGCTATGGAGAGTGGAGCAGAGGAATGAAGCAAAGATAAATATTTTCAGAGGCAGGTGTCAACTGAGCCCAAACCTGAAAGGAGTACCGGGTATATTTAGAGCAGTGGACTAGAAGGAGGTCACCGATGGCTTTTGCAAGTTCAGTTTTTGTGGAATCATGGAACAGAAACCAGGTGACTGTACTTTGATACAGGGAAAAAACAAAAGTAGGAGAGAGCTGAGATTTTTCTCTGGCGTGACCTGAGCTTCAAGAAACTACCGAAATATTGTTAAATATACATGAATACAGATGAATGAATGTTTAAATGTTTCTCTTAGACCCACAATACCTCATAAATTGTGGTTGCGGTCATGGGATTAAAATAACAAACAAAACATGTTTAAGGGTGTAAATTGTAGGAAAATATTTCCCTAATCAGAATCAATATGCTGAGCAGTTTCCCCCAATATATAGACAGTTTATTTCTATAACATTTTTAATGAGTTCCAATGTCTTTCATTTGTTCTTTGGTTTATTTTTTGTTTAGAACACATCCTTGATTAATGGAACCTTTAGAAAGTGACCTCGAAGCTGCATCTCTCCTGAGTAGGGCCTGAACCAAGCGCCTGTAATGCAGAAAGGATAGTCCTGACTTGGACTCACAGAGGCCCAGCTAGGAAGGTAACAGGATCCTGTGGAACAAAAGAGTCCATTCTGCTTTCTACTAGAAGGACCAAGAAACAGTTACATGAAGAAATATATTTCCAGTGGAGTTTAACCATAAAATGATGGCTAAATTTCTTGCTTTTCTGAACATACAACAAACTAAATTGTAGTTCTCAAACTAGAGCACCCAAGGAAATCACCTAGAGGGTTTGCTGAAACAGAGATTTCTAGGCCACACTCCAAGTGTCTGCCTTAGTAATTTCAGAGTGGGACCAGATAATTTGCATTTGTAACAAGTTCTAAAGTGATGAAGATGGTGCTGGGCAAAACCAGACAACCAGAACCACTGGTCTATGCAAAATACATGGTATATTAAGAAGATGTGGATTTTCTATAAAATGGAATACTACTCAGCCATAAAGAATGAGAAATTAGATTCATTCGTAGGAAAATGAATACATATTGAGGATATACTCCTAAGTGAAATAAAAAAGTCACACATGTGTAAATACCGAATAGTTTCGCTGGTATGAACAAACTATAATAGTGCATAAGATCCTAAGGAGATAACTGGCAATGTGAAATAGGAAGAAAGGGGCTAAAGGTGTAGGTAAAGTGGGAAGGGTAGGGGAAAGGTAATAAGGCAAAGAAGAAATAGGAGAAAACAAAAAAATGGAAATAAAATGATTGTAAATGGGGAGAGGAGGAGGGGGTGAAGGGAGGGCAGAGACAAGGGGAAAAAATGAGAACCAAGACCTGTCATGTAAAGGTACAAGATCACAATAATGAATGAAACTGTACTGTATACCTAAAATGTGCCAATAAACTCAATGCGGAAAAAAAAATACATGGCATATTTTCATTACTTCTTTTCCTAGTTTTCTGTTATCTCTCAAAGAAAATGAGTAAAATTCTCATTTCAGCAACAACTGTCCTGGCTCTTGCCAGTTTCTCTTGCTTAAAATTTTTTCAAAAACAAACAAAAACAGAAAAAAGTGATGTTAAGAATTTGTAGCTGAGTTTCTGGCTTTCCACTCCTTTTTAATAGAATGAAGGTTTGATCTTAGTCAGTAGATTTTAGTGCCTCAAATGAAATCCGACAAATAAAATACAACTAACTAGCATTAAAAAGTTATTCTCTTTTAATTGTGAAACATTCAAATAAACATATTTCCCATTAATATATACTTAATACATATTAAATATTCTCTTAATACTGTTCTAGAAAAGGAGAGTAATCATCAAGTGATGGAAAGAAGAAAAACCACATGGCATGCAGATGTTACTTTTTTTTCTACTTTTTATTTTTTTTTAAGCCAAAGGAAAACACAGCATCAGTTAAGCCTAGCAATCTACCAGTAGATTATCATGCTTAAATTAGGATCTCTGTAATTGAGTTGTCTTCCTTCGATTAACACAGCATGGCCTGGTGATGGGGCATGAGCTCACTGTGCAGAACTAATGGATAGCCATCTAGGCTCTAAAGATGCATCTCACCTGTTCTACTCTTGAGAAATTCCAAAGACGTTAGGGTTACGCCGATTAAAACATTTGTAAGAACAAAGTAATATTCGAAGAGGTACCAGCTGTAGATTTTGGCTTATCTTCCAGTTCTAAAATGTAAAGATTAAAAACTAAATTAAGGATGTGCCAATAAATATCTTTGATTAAAATAAGCAATTCCTAAGTGGGAAGGGTACGGGAAAGGAAATAAGGGAAAAGAAAACAATATGAGAAAAGGAAGAAATGGAAACAAAGTCTTTGTAAATAGGGGAGGGTGAAGGGGGTGAAGGGAGGGCAGGGGAATGGGGAAAAAATGAGAACCAAGACCTGTCATGTGAAGGTACAAGATTCCAATGATGAATGTAACTGTGCAGTATACATACCAATAAACTAAATGAAAAAAAAAATAAGTAAGTACTTTCTCAGAGGTTTTGGAACACTGACTCCTAAAGGACACTCTATTCCATTTATGCTTGATTTGCTCTTTTCCCCCACACAAACTTAACTAGCAAGGAAAGGCATGTTCAACACTAAACAAAATTCAGATGATAAAAGATTATATGTGTTTTTATCCAAACATTAATATTAAATTAACCATAGAGTATTTGGGATGAAGGTCAAAAGTGATATAAATTCCACATAAAGCCGATTCCTAATGACAGGATTTTTAAATTGTCAATCAGCCACTTTCTGTAAATCAGAACTTCCTACTGGCCATCTCATTTTTCCAACTAGCATCCATTTCCTATGGAAATTGTCTTCCTAATACTCTTTGTTTGCTGTCTGCAATATCCATTAAGATCTTTACCAGCTGGGGGCCTAGAAAATTCTTCAATACATAAGTGTTTATAGCAAATTCTCCATAACTTAAAAATATACGCTTTAAATATCTCTGACCTTACTTCTCAGTGCACAAAATAGGTAACCAAAAATGCTACTGGCCAATTTAATTTCCATATCCTGGATACTTATAACATTAGCATGAACAAGGCCATGGGTTTGACATTCAGCAAAAGAAAGAAAGAGGAAGGGAGGAAGGAGGAATATTTGCAATCTCAAAGGCTTTTCATTTTATATGCTTTATAATCAATTTCTGAAATCAACATAGCTGTAAAATAGTGCAAATCCAAAACAGAAACATACAACTAGTCATTTAATTGGTTAATAGTACTACTTAGCTTTACCATGAAACCAGTTGACCAACATCATCACAAACCACAATGACAGATTTGATTACTGTCCTGTTCTCTCTTCCACAAAAGAATTTTTGAGATCCCACAGAGAGGTCTGACTACTTACACACCACTATAGCCCTCTCCTGAAAGAGTAACAACCTTCTAACACTGATGATGTGTCAGTGGGGAGCCAAAGATAGGTCATACTGTGAAGTACTGTAGATGAAGGAAAAAATATGGAATTATCTATAAATCTGAGTTCTTCCTACAGAGATGCATAGTTGACCAATCAGCAAACATTTCCTGGACTCCCAGTAAGCATCTTGGTTTTGCCTGGCACAAAAGCCTACTTTTTCCTTTGGGGAATTGCTCCTTCCAATTTCAGTGCATATTTTGTGGAATGAGAGGTCCACTGATCCCACTGTCATCTCAAGATAGACCACATAATTCAGGCTCAGGCAATGGTCCAGCCACTTCCTTCTGACATCTGTGATTAGTGTGGGGTGATCACATGATCTGATGTAATCCAACAGAGCCACTGGGCATCAGTCCCAGAACTTTTTCTGGATCTACTAAGAGATTAAAGCTCTTTGTATACTCCCAGAAGGCACAATTTAGGGAGCTCCTACCTGCAAATGAAGCCAAGACAAGAAAAACAAAGACACTAAACTAAAAGGTCAAATTCTTGCTAATAAATTTGAGAACCAGATCTAGTTATATTCAGCCAAACCCATCCCTGCCTGGCCTTCTTCATGACTCAGTCAGTGTGTAAATTGGGTTTCTTAACTTGCAACCAAGAGTTCTGACAAATTATACGTATTCTAAAATCTGCATGACATTAGGCAAAGTGCCAAGGATACAAAACATGCAGCAAACAACCCTGGCCTTTGAGAATCTTTTTAGCATTGAGTTAGGAAGACAAGGAATAAACATAAAATATAACTAGAAACATATGGCTTAACTCAGTGATAAGTTATATATAATCGCAGTGAAAAGAGACACTAGCATAGGCTGAATAGTTAGCAAGATTTTGCAATATAAGAAAAAGATGAGCTAGGTCTGGAAAAATGACTCAGATGTGGCTGCCTATAGAGGAAGCAAAAGGACTTTTCAAAAGGGTTGAACTACTTGAAAACAGAAAGTCAAGAATGTGCTTAGCATATTGGGAAAACAATGTAGTGTATACAATAAATAGAACATAAAATGTTAAAGTATGAACTATCAACAGAAAATCCTAATGTCCAAGAGTAAAAGGAAGGTGTAAGTATTTTTCTAACAATGCACGTACTATACATAATACTTTAAATCTATTCCAGATGAGATAATATTAATTACTTAACTAGACTATAATAGTTAAGTGTTGAAATTACATGTGCAGAATAACACAATCAAAGGTAAATATAGTCTTCTCTCTTTCTATTTAGTAGACAGCCCTCTATTCCAAGCAGTTCTTTTTGCCCCTTCTGTAGCTTCTTGGCTAGAACTGAAAGACTAGTGAAAATATATTGTGCCATATCAATTTTATTTATCTCCTATTTAAGAAACCAGAGCAAATAATAGATCCATAAGCTAAAAGCAGGAGGTTGGAGAAAGAAACAGACATAAACCAAGGACGCAAGTGGGCCATAGTGTTATTCGATTTGCTATGTCCTGTTTCTGCATGAGGTGAAAAGTTTGTAATAGAAACTATTAGAGGCATTTTCTATTTCCACAGTGGTTTTAGCCATTTCCCTCGTGTCTTTAAGAAATTGCATGGGCAGAGTTTAGGTTGGCTCTTGTTGTAAGCAGGAATGCAAAGTGTCTGTGTCCCTCTTTTCCCTTCTTAAGGGAATTATTATTTAGATCATTAGAATAAAATGAATGCTTTATTTAGCTTTTCTAGGACTTTATTTTTGCAAAAAGCCATTATCCGTTATAATGAAGATAAAACTTTGGTGGTTATTATTCTCTAAATTAATAATTTATATTTTCGATACAATGTTTGATAGACAGGGGGTTGTTTCTTGGAAATTTTACTGAGAATAAAGGACTTGATATACTTCCTTGTTAATATACTTTTCCTCCTAGAGTTTTCATTCTCAGTAATGTTTGCAAGAGCAAAGTTCTCAAATATCTTACTAGAGGATGCTCATTTAAATTTTCATTTCCGCTTGTGGCTTTATCTTAGTTGTTTCTACTGATATAACATATGTCCATTTGAAATAAACATGTTACAAAGGAATAGTCTTTTAAAAAAAAAAGAATAGTGACTCTATCCTATATAAGGAAGTCTCTTCACAAATTCACTTAACAAACCCTCACAACCCTGTCAAATATAATTACTGTGCTGTCATTGTTTACAGATAAAAATTAAACACCACTGAACAAATTATCCATTTTGTCAAGGCAAACTCATAGATGAGGAAAGAGTTTGCCTACGATTAGACAAAACTAAAAGGATATCATTTTAGCGAAAGGCGTTAAAAAGGAAATAACATATTTAACCTCAATGTTTCACTCCACTATTTATAATAAAATAGGCTATTTGCTTATAAAAATAAATAAAACATATCCTCTTTCAATTTTAGGAAAAAACTAGTTTTTCATGTTAAATTTAAATATGCATATTTGCTAAGTTTTATACTTGTTGAATGGTAGAATTGGATTTTTAAGAATTATTCAACATGTGGTTCAGTGACAATCACTGCCGTATTTTAACCCAGGAAATCAACCCAATGTAATCATAGAGTTGTTAAAAGTGGGAGAAGGAAGCAGAACAGAGGATCCAAATGACATGATATAGAAATAGATCTACCAATACTAGCTATGAAGACAGGAAAAAGACCCTAAGCCAAGGAACAACTTGTAGAAGCTGTCAAACACAAGACAGTGGATGTTCCCCTGAGTCTCCAGAAAACAGCCCATCTGTAACACCTTATTTTAGCCCAGTAAGACCCTTTTTGGATTTCCGACCTACTACACTATAAGATAACAAATTTTGGTAGGTAAGGTGCCAAGTTTATGGCAATGTTTTGCTGCAGCAAGAATAGAAAACGAGCAGTGGTATCATTATCCAAATCAACAGAACTTAATAAAGCATGATAATGGCAGCCTCCCTCCTACTATGGAATCAAAGCACTTTCAGGCTAGAAGAGACTTTGGTCTAGGCATGAAAACTGTTCCAGAGACAAAATGTTTTAGGCTTCATAGTTCGAGACAGAGTCAGGACCAGAATCCAAGTTCAGTAAATTGTAGATTTGCATTAGCAGTTCTCACAGGCTCTTTCACTAATGAGGGTTTTGACTATAGGTGAATAATCTTTATAGAATAATTGTATAGAACGAGTAGTCATAGGAAAGTGTGTGTTTTCAAATAACAGAAAGGAGGATTCTGCTCCACTGTTTCTATGTCTCCAAATGGTAATTAGACATACTCATTTGAATTATCCAGCTATCACTTTAAATCCAAAATGTCTAAGATGAAATTCTGGGTCTTTCCTCCAAAGTAAGCTCCCCTAGGGCTGGTTCTTTCCCCTTCACACCCTCAGAGGTTTCCCATGCTCAGTCAACAAATACATTCTGCCATCCTCCCTTCCCCATGGTGCTTCCCTTCCTGGCATTACCACCACTAAAGCTGATCCCTGCACAAAGCAACTGCACTGCTTAATCTTTCTCTTCAATATTCAATCAGTCCATCACAGTACCCCAAAATGACTCTAAAACACATCTTTTTAGTATCACTGACTTGTGTGCACCATTTAGTAGACTCCATTTTCAAACGGGATCAAATGCAAACTTCTTATTCTTTCCATTGGCAGGTTTGTAGACTCTTACCCCAATTTTTAAAAATGTTTGTGTCTTCCTCCCACTCCCATCCACAAACCAACTATATTAATTTACTGCCCATAGCATGACTCATTCTCCATGCCATCCTCTTCTAACAAGTCCTCTCTTCTT